ACTTAGTTGGACGCACCTTGTCCGAAGTTATCATAATTACCAGCGTTGGAACGTGGATTTGATACATTGTCAGTCGTTTCGCCGGCAAGACCCACTGACGATGATAACTTCGGACAAGCTGCGTCCAACTAGGTCGCCCTGATAACACGACCAAGTTACGAAAACGAGGTCAGCCCACTTTCTGCATCGAATGGTGACTACGACCCTACTGAAGGCCACGCCATCTTGGTCTTCACATTTGACCCTTTGTTGGAGCTGTCTAGATCCGGAAGTGATTCGCCTTTGGCTTATCTACCGCGACGTAATTAGCCGCCAATACATGATTAGGCCACCAAAGTCAACACAGCTCAACTCTCCAGAACGGCTCATGCGTTGCCATGGCATCAACAATTGGTTCCACTCAAGACCAGGCATGCCCTTACAAGCTGGTCGAACGAGCAAAGTCCAGTTGCACAAAAAAGAGTTCAAGTCAACCCTGTCGCTTAGAGTCGGGTAAGATCACAGCATGTCTTGAGGGCGCTTCAAGAGGGATCTTCAATTCGAGAAGCCTCGACGATGCTTGTGAATACGGACGCTTAAAAGCAACAGCCTCTACAGACTCTACCGACCGATAGGTTTGACTGCGTCTCACCTGCGCGTCGACTCCGGCTCCGTTGTGCAAGAGCAGACTCAAGAGGCCACTATCACCGTCCTCGGCCGCGTAGTGGAGCGGCGTGTTGCCGAAGGTGTCTCGAGCGTCCACATCCGCGCCAGCGTTCAACTGCAAAGGGGCGGAAACACATGTGGGGCACAACCAGGAAATCTGTCAGTTTGGTATCCACCTTTAGACGCTGATATTACAATTAAATACACATCTGTCCAAATCGAATGTTTATGTTGCCTCCTATCTATTGCTAATCATTCTCGCTACGATGATTGATTTCGTGGCACGGCATTCCCAACACTATCACATAATTTAATGTATGCTATAGTCATAGTTACATGTATGGTTATTTTGATACTTTCAGTCAATTGTGAATAGGAGTTGTCGCCTCCCCAGGTCGAATGTGATGAAGAAACGCAGGGCTGGGGCAAATCTAGGCGCAATTCACCAGCATCCTGAGGCCTACTCAGAGAATTGGGGTAAAATCAAACCAACGCAACAGGGCCTTATTCTCATCT